TAAAAATGGGCCAAATTAAGAGTACCCTTAACCGACGAGCATGTATGCGTAGGTATATGGATGTGGAAGAGGCGAGAAAGGTATGTCAGGATCGTGCTAAATGGAAGTCTGTAGTCTCTGCCTACCCCTCTGGGTGACAGGCGTTAGTGTTTATGTTATATGTTATGTTTTATTTCTTTATAAATCTTCTATTTAATCTAATACAAAACACTGTTCGAGTTTAAAGTTACATAGGACTCTCTCATTAGATCATCAATAATAACGAGATGTGGGTTTTCACCATCAAACATATTAAGATTTGGAATTCCTTGATGATAGTTAACATTTGGTAAATTATATAAAGGTTGCATTTCATCAAAGCACCATGTGATCTGATTAAAACCACAATTATTTATTTCTGTAACTGATTTTATGAAATTTGTTACAAAATTTGACTTCCCACATCCACTTGGTCCTGCCACAATAGCAGTAAACTGATGTATAAAGTGAAACATTACACACATCTAAAGTTCTAAGTGGTGAAATAAAAAATGAAAGTGTTGGTGTAAACAATTAATATATATATATATATATATATATATATATATATATATATATATATATATATATATATATATATATATTTGTGTACTGTAACTAATGTTTTTGGGAAATCAAACAAAATTTATGATTAATTGAAAATTTTATTTTCAAGCAATAACCACTTCTAAAAAACCCACACTTCGTCACTAGAACAATGTAAAATTTTGTGATTATTTTTTGGAAATATATGATTATTACACACATAACGTTTGTTTAAATTTATGACATTTACCAAATCATTGTATTTTGGACATTTGTATTCTTCAATATTAAAAATTCTATCATTCGTCGTCAACATTTTTAAAAATTGTTTTCTGTTTTGTGCACAAATTTCTAATATACCAATTTAATATGGGGATGATGTTCTTTTGTTTGTAGGCACATTTTAATTCTTCGGTCACATCAAAATATGGAATGCCGTGCACGTGTGTTTCACAATAAGGAACAGTTTTTTTGTCTTTGGTGACAAATAATTGAAAGGATAACTTGGCCGAAACTAATAATGATCGATAAACGCATCATTTTTATTAGATAGTTTTACGTCTAGAATAGCCATTTCTCTACATTGAAAATGTTTATGAGGATATGTAATGTAAAATCCGTCCATGTCGATGATGTATCTAATATTTTTTAGATTTTGTGTCATTTTGAACCAAAATGTTAAAAGTATTTACACGTGACTAAAAATATGTTTGTTCCAACAAACTTCACATAACAATGCTTCATTACTTCCCATCATCCCATTTCTTCCTTCTGCTGTTGTCTTCCTGTAATTTAAGTAAACAGAATCACGTTCACCAATAATCAACTAATGACTGTCATTGTTAAAAAAGTATTTTTTAAATATTCTAGTATTAGTAGATGCGGTACACACACAATATTTAAATATAATTTGTTAAATTGCAAATAACAATTTAATTGGTGCCGGCGGGGATCGAACCCGGGTACTGTGAAATTTACAGCTTGCGCTAACCATCTGAGCTACCACGGCTTAATATAATACACACACAATATATAAATATAATTTGTTAACACTAAATCATACACACGTAAGAAAATAACAGAAAGAAAGTAAGTTTGTCAATAGAATAAACACTTACATCCATGGCCTTTGATGCGTTGATGTAACACAAATGTAGTATTGATAGATCCACTGCGGTCAAACGACCATACACTAACTCCATGACTGCACTTGCTTGGTCTTATATAGTACCAGTAAGTAATAATTCTAATCTAAAGAATTTCTGCAGTAGAATTGATAGTAACTTTATGCGTCAACAAGCTTATCTCACATTTTGTTGGTTATCTCAACATTACTTCGTGTCGTGTCTTGTTCAGTGTATTGATGACTCAAATACGTTTTTGTATAACACAAAATAATGCAATTTAATATTTAGAAATCACTATAATTGATCATTCCTATGTTAGTCATTGAGTAGATAGTACTATAATTATCTACTAATAGCAGTAATATCATGGATACACTAGATGTACAACAACATCTGAAAAAGATTCACCCCACTCTAGAAAATAATGTTTATCTGCTAATAAACTGCCCATGTACACCCACGTACCAACGTATATAATATGAAATTTGGATACAGATGATAAACCAGGGTTACATTGGGTAGCTTTATATATCGATATGAATGACGTCGGTCAATATTTTTTTAATGTGTTAATTAGGTAATGTGTTTTATTGATGAGTCAGATTAGTGTAGATAGGAACAAAGGAGTATAATACAATAGCACCACGCTGAGGAAGAATAGATAATGACGGTATTCAATGAACATTAGATAAATAGATAAGAACAATGGAGCACTAATGACGGTGGAGGCCTTCACCGGATATCAATTAGATAAGAGTTAATTGATCTGCACATCTCCGGATCCGTGCATCCTACGCAAAAATGGACCGCAGATTCGTGATCAGAGCATGCCTCTTAGTTAGTACCAGTTCTGACTCAGTGAGCCAGAACTGGTACTAACTAACTACTTCAATGCGCATTTGACATTGTCCTTGCGGTTTGTGTTAGGTTTTGTTTTTTTTACTTCGTGGATTTATTTAACTTGAATCTTGGCTTTTCTCTCGGATTTCGAAGTGCATTGTGATTACCTGGCCTTTGTGTTACGGACTCTGGATTTTGCCGAGCGAATATGGATTTTCGTGGAATTAACACAACCCGCCATTGGGGAGGTTTATATAGTGGGTATATTTTTTAGATAATAACAGTATTTCTTAAATAATAAAAAAGTTTTCAAATTATTTATGCAACTTTTGACAAAAATTAAAGATTTAACAGCATAACTTACAAATCATAAAAAGCAAAATAAAAGCTAAATCCCAGGTCCTGAAAAATATGATTTTTGACTTGATTGATGCTTGATTAGCAAATGTTTAAATCTTCAAAATGAGACATATAGAACTTTGTTCACGCCGGGCCCAAGCTTGTATGGAACCATGTCAATCTCGTTCACTTCCCTGGAGGGCTTTTACAGAGTTAGGCAAATGGTTGTACAATTTGACTGCCATATAGAATAAACCTTTTTTTTAATAGATCAAGGTATTTTCGACGACCCTTTGTCATGCCATTAATGGGAATTATAAATCCATGAATTAGCAAAAAAAATGTGTGGGTCACTCATGGGCAAAAAACTATCCTATCTCTCAAGTTGGTCCAAACTGCACACGGTGTGCAAATTTGATTAAAATCGGTTAAGTAGTTTAGGAGTCCATCGCGGACAAATATCTATACCCCACAGGTTCAACAAACATATGTTATTATCACGGCGATAAACGTAGCGGCTAGAAAGATCAGTTATTTTATTGAAATATTTCGGGCTGGTGTGGACTAGTCTACAAAGCTCGTAAATGCACGTACAACTGACTGTAAGAATATTTAGGCTTACAAACCATGGCCTACATGACTCTTTAGGTGGCAGATTAGCGATCACTCTGATGCAGTGCTTTTGCAAAACAAATACTGCTTCGACGTCAGTTCAGTTTTCCCAAAGTACAATTACAAATTGATCCAGGTGGCAGCGTGTGCATGGTATGCAGTCAACGTGCACGGCGAATTTAAAAGACGCAAGTAAAACTACTTAGTTTACCCTAAACTGCACCCACATGAGGTTTCCAAATCAAGGTGAAATCCGTGGTGATGCCTAGCAACATAAATGTGTCAACTGCTTCTTTTTCATTCTGTTTAAAATAAAATAGAAATAGTAGTACAAAAGTCACTATTTTTAATTAAAAATCAAACGCTGATGCTTTACCATCCCTAGGAAGTAAAGTGAAATATTTCGTTACTAGAAAACGTGGCCTTAAGTTTTCACTACTAACTAACATTGGCATTACGCTGATGTTTAATGTCGGTACTCTGTAAGGACTTGTTTATTTTTTACGTGATTATACGTTGCAGCTTTAGTATGGCTGCATCACGAATGGTTCAGCTCTTCCAGTGAAAGACCAGGCATGCAACCTGCATAAAATAGCAGCCTAATAACTTTTTACTACAAACGAGGCATTCCATCTTAGCCCTTAGTGTGATAATGCGTCTTTTCATTCATTTTGATTCTTAACCAACGATAAATGTATATATATATATATATATATATATATATATATATATATATATATATATATATATATATATATATATATATGCATAAAATAGGCACGTCTGAAAAAATTATTTTAAATTTTTCCGCAAAAATCCTTGCAAAATGTATTTGTCCAACTGCTGGGCTCAGGCTTCTCTTATTATCATATGAAACCCACCATCATATGAATATGAAACCCACCAATGCGATAGTGGGTTTCATATGTCCCCGAAATATTTATTCCCTCAGATATGCAGGTTGTCCTATGATGTTTTCCTTCACCGCTGAGTACGTGGTAAATCAGTATTTAAAATTTTCCGATGCCATTGATGTAGGTGGGAATCAAACCCGCGTTGCTACGTATTGTGAAATTTACAACAGGCACTCTGCTCCTGAGCTACCACAGCTCTTCTATTAAACCTCAAGCTAGCTTTATAATAGCTTAGTTTTAAAGATTGTTGAAAAATAAACAGGAGTAGTTAATAATTTGTGATTTAGCTTGAGGACATTTTAATGGTAATATTTATTTTTAATACACGTGAGTATGAGGTGTTAAGGAAACATAACGTACCTTTAATAATTCTGTTGTTGTCATTTGATAGTCAATGAAGCGTTTCAGTTTAACTTTGATCATTTAAACAAACTAAAATGTCAGTGATACGGAGGAGAACCTTTTTCCCTGGTTCATAAAGAATATTATTGCACAAGTGAGAAATCGATGATACTAAATCTTGCAACGATAAACTTGAATAAATAGGTAGTGTAGTACGGTCTTCAATTACTACTGGTTTTTACGTATCCACTTTCAGTTCAATATGAAATCCAATGTATTTTCAATATGTCTGTTGGTTTTCGGTAAGTGCATATTTATAAAATATTTCTCGGCTTACTTTTTTATTGTAACAATGTAGGAGTTGACTAGCAGATGTATTTTAGAATTTAGGTTAAATTAAATAATATATTACAATATAATTAGATGTTAATCAAAGAGGTAATCCTCTTTGATTAACATCTAATTTTTTGCCCAATTGACTAAACTGTAGCTGTAAATGTCAGTATTGTGCCAAATAGTCTCTGCGTACCCCTCTGGGTGTTAGGCGTGAGGGTATATGTATGTATGTATGTATTTAAGTAAAGATTCGGGAATTTGAAGTAGGTAATAGATCACTAGATCAAGATACGGCATTATATTGTTTTTATCATCATTACAGTCCCTTACAAGTCCGATGCTAAAAAAAGCCCTCATAATAAGTCATAAGTTTTGCTTATATTTATGAAAGATATTTTGGTGTTGTTAGAGTTTTTTTTCATGTAATTAATTTGTTTTTAATGGATGCAGGTGGCTAAGGACAGTTGTTTGTAGTTTCTTCGGGGAGGCCTAGGTTCAGTAGTGGACTTGTGAAGCGCTGTTAAAATGACGATGAAAAGTTTTAAATTAATGGACCAAAAGTTTATTACTTAATACGATTTGTTACAGAATTTGTTTTCGCCACTTCAATACCCGTAAATGGATATTACGCTAATCCCGGTCAAGTTTGTTATCTCATTGACAATTCTTCCAGTCAACAGAACGATAATCCATTACAGAAACAAATGCTGCTTGCAGCATATTCGCAACCTCTAAATACTATTGCTGAATTAAACAACAAGAACAATCAAGTCAAGTGTAAGTGCATTCTAATTATTAGAGTTACCTGATGTAAAGTAAATTCCAAGAGAACTCCACACCAAGCGTGCAGATGCGTTGTCACCCCTGAGGGCCGTAGTACCTCATATCTGTTTGTCCTGGATCTCAATAGCCTTTTTTTTTTTTTGCATGGGGAAATGCCTACGCATACCCTCCTCGCGGGGGCAAGGACGGGTTATGTCGGACTCGCACCGACTAAAACCCCATGGTGTTCCACCTTTGTCGCATATTGGCAGGGCTACGGGAACGCTTTCGCACACATCCGCGGCCCTACTAGCGCCTGTCGCCCCATGGCAGCACCTCCTCGGGTGAGGAAAATTCCTCCCCGTTCTCCTTCCCAGGTAAGGCGCACCAGAACACATGGCGCGCCTTCCTCCACGGCCTCCAACTACGTCTGTGCAACAGACGCCCCCCGCGTCCGATGCACAAAGGCCATGGGGCCAGAAAAAACGAGCACTTAGAAGTACTAGCGTTCCCGACCCCAGCGGCGGATCTGGTCTATGGCTCCGCCGCCAACCAAGATTCGGCTGCGGAGGGTAGGGAGAGCGGCGCCTCGCAATACCGACAATCCTCTCCCCCTGCAGCCCCACCACCACCGCATCAACGGTGCGGCAACGTTTGAGTCGCGAAGGATAGGGCGAGTGGCGCATCGCCATACCAACACTCCTCTTCCTCCGCGACTCCACCTCGGCTGCAGCGGTAGAGGGTGCGCGAGTCCCCACTCGCTGCAGTCCACCAGCACACATCCGAAGTGGGCTCCCCAAGCCCACTCGGAGCGGCCACCTCAGGCCGGCCCTTCACCTCGGGCCAGCCTCGTGGGTTCCTCTTTGTTCACCGTGGAAGACCAAGCCACGGCTATTAAGCCCCCCGCCACGACAAGGCGGGAACCCGTTCGGGGGGGGGATCTCAATAGCCTATAAATTAGAATACAATAATGTCCGCGTTTCATAATAGCGGAAAAAATAGAAATTAGAGTAGTACTTATCTAGATGGATATCGCTTCCAGGAGCAGCCCCACCCCCCTATTAAATATGTAGGGGTCGCAATATTTTACTTTTTTAAAAAACTGAAGTGAAAAACGAACTTACAATAAACTAGTTGTCTACTGCAGCTTATGGACACCTGCAACCAGCTTCAAACAAAGAAGGTTATACCTAGGTTACACTGAAAGTTCCGCGCTCCTGGCTGATCATAAATCACTCTCTCCACAAGATCGGACTGCTCATGTTCTAATTTTTTTTGAAGTTAAGCATCGCTTTTGAGTACCGTAATGGTAGGCAGTGGTCGTGTTTCTCTCCATAGTGAAACTCGTGAAGGTCGACCCTCAACTGCGATCACTGAGTACAAGAAGCTACTTTCATGAGCCTTATTGAAGAAAACCTGCGTGTCACCTATGACTGATGGGCCTATTCTCAGATCTCAAGCCTTGTCCAGCACCTTTATATATTGTGGGATTATGAACGCGTTGTGACAAGCTGCGAATCGGCCAGCCAGTATTCGCCATGTCACACAGCTGTCGTGTGCACCTCCACTGCGGCACTTCTCATTGTGCAACCTAAAGCCGATTAGTGACGACTCGCCGCGAGAACGCGTATACAGGTACGAACTAAGCGTTCCTGTGTACACCTAACAGACTGCGCGTACATTGGAACGCTTAGTCCGTATCAGGATTCAGGATACTTGGGTATTAGTAAAAGCCAAAGTCATAGTTTTTTAAAAGTAAGAAAACGTTGCACCCTACTATTAATAAAATTACTTTATAATGTAGGGTAAACTTTAATGAAATCATAAACATTATTGTTTCTACATAACCGGATTAGCCAGCAGAGGACACATTTGACTACTGAACAAAATATTCATTAGACAATGGGAAAATCTAAATCTTTATTTTCGTAACAGTCATTGCATTTATAGATTGTGTTTTAATAAATCATTACATAATATTATTTTCTTAATATTAAAGTGTCATACGAGCCACAGTCTACCAGATGGTGAATTAATTTTGCAGCCATCGACATATCTAAGCTAGAATGACAAATGCATCATCAGCTCTGACGACTTGAACAAATTCTTCACATCTTGTAATTTTATTAACTGTCTTTTTCTTCTAATTGGAATAAAGGTTTTACATATGTACTGCTACTATGCGGTGGAATAGAGAATAGAAAGTAACCAGCCAGAGATGCAGTCCTATCATGACAGAAGTTGATCTAGTTAATACAAATTTATTTCAAAACGTCGTTATAAAATGAAGGAATAGGGCTAGGTGGTAAAAGTTTAAGCTCTGTAAATAAGCCTTAATTTTGTTTTGCAGACAATTCGCCAGCATCGTCAACGAGTCCAATCCCGTATCCTAGTCACTGTACAGATGAGAGAAGATCCAACATTTTATCAACGCTCTTCAGTATACCTGCCACTGTTGCCAATTCTCTGTTGAACGGAGAAATTACTGTTTGATTATAATAAATGGATTTGAATTATTTAATTTGCCAGTAATTTTACTACCATATTTCTGCATACCATCTATATACCTTACTTGATTACAGTAGAAAGAAAGCTTATTTTTATACAATATTTGCTGACATAATGATTTATCCAACAAACACTTGTTTCTTGCGGAATCTGTACTCGCAGCTCCGCAGCTTAAGAAAGCCAAATGCAAATATGAATTACACATAGCTTTAAAAAGCTTAATTACAAAATAATATACCGTCTAACAATCAGTATTACTATCATTGTCTGTAAAGCAATCTACGTTATAACCTAGACTTGAAGGAATCCCTTAAAAAGTTAAGTAAAAATATTTAAACTAATATTTAATGTGTGTACACAATAATAAAAATAGCTTTATCAAAAATAGTGATGTATATTTGGTTGATACTATGTGTTCCTAGTATTTAGAGAAAGCACAAGCTAGTTATACCAGTTACTTGTCTCCAAAGATTCAGTTATTACTTTATGGTGCTATGTATACGCTTTTACAAAAAGTCCCAAAAATATGCAGGAATTATCGAGCATTCACTTTCATTACTATTTTTGTTGGGCGGACAAGTCTATCCATTCTTTATAAACACTCGAGACAAATATCGACATTAATTTTGATATAGTTGAGTCAATCCCTATCGTACATGTAAAATATTTTGTTTAAAAATATATTCACCAAATTCATACAAATTATCAACAACGTTACTTTTTCTTGCAAAAATATCGAAATTAATAAAATAATTGAAAATCTTCTATATTTTGGACATTACATAACCAAAAAGAGACGCGTCATAGCGGTAACGACGTCTTGCGAATTTTGAACCATTTTGAAAAATAATTATTTACATGCTATCATCCCTTTTCTGTTTTGAATTTTTGCAATAAGGGATTTTATTCTCCCATGCACACTATGGCCACCTATATATTCTAAATGTAGTATTATGTGTGTGGTTATTTCGCAAGACAACTAGACTTCTTTAACCTGTAGAGGTTTCGTTGTCGATGTTAGCGACAATCGACCTTTTTTGTGCAATTTTATTGTTTATTACTTTATTATTTGTACAAAATACAAAGAAGATAGGATTTAGTCTAGTCCTAGTCTGGTTATGATTCACGAAATCAAGTGAATAGTTTTCAAAATCAAGTGAAGATGCTTATATTACATTACAAATATTCGTGTCGGTAACTTTGAAAACGAATAGTTAGTGAGGTATGATTACTAAGTCTTGGCAGATACACGCTGCATTAGCGAATTAGGTCCCATTAACAATCCCAATTTTATATGCTGATTTACTACTTGCCCAGCGAAAAATAAAACTGTCGAGACAGCTATCTCTGCTTGGACGGAAATATTTCCAAATCATGAAGTGAAGCCAGGTTCTTGATAAAACCGTGTAGCGGTTACGTAAGACAGTCCACTAATTCATAGTTAGAAGCTCTTAAGACCCCATACCATCCCGTGAGTATCGTAAAAAAGCGACAGACTGAAATCAAACAGGAGATAGATAGCCTTATTTTTCTGACAACAATTCAAAATAATAATAAGTTGCAGTTGCCACATGCAGCTGTATTTCGTATGGTGAGTGTAGAGAATCGGTGACCTTTTTTTGCTGGAAACGAGGATCTTGGTCCTCACGGGTGACAAATCATCTGCATTTTTATTCGTATTCTTGTTCACAGACTGCAGATTTCTGTGAACACGTACAGGATCGCCCCTGTCACTACATCAGATTTGAAAGACCACAAATCCTCGCTAAAGAACACCGATTCCTTCCAAGCATGATTCGCGAGGCTATTGAAATCAAAAAACATCCTAATTTCAATAGAGAAGATGGCTGGGTGCTACCATCTACTTGGGATCCTATAATAAATAAAATTAAATCCCAATCCAAGCATACAACTGCAAGACTTCAAGATACCATAAGTTCATACTGTATAGATCGGAACAAAAGTTAAATTTTTATCTATGGTAACCGCTGTTAACTATGACATTTGGACGTTGAACATCTCAGTCCCCCCCGTGACCATGGGTGCTGTAAAGCACTCGAAACGTTGGGTATTTATAGTTAAATATACGCGATAAAATCCGTAAAAACTAGTATTATTTCAATGTGTATTGTTCGCGTAAATATAAGAAATCATTATATATGTTTTGCATTTAACTACTTGAGCAAAGACAATTATAATTAATAAGCTATGCGTAGTGTGGTCGTTACATAAAATAATTCTTCTTCCTTTATCTGTGTCATTAAAGGAAACGCTCGGAAGATCTTGTGGCGTCGGGTACCAACCAGTATAATTTTATAATTATAATTTTATACTAATATGTACTACGTATGAAAAAAGTATCTACTAACTTAGTACCTAAGTAATAAGTATGTAAATAAGTAATCGTATCGTAGTATCGCTAAATACTGCCGTAGCAGGATCACGGGAAATGTGTATTTACACTCTGCCCTACCACTCACATCACTTTCGGCTTTCGACTACGGCAGATGTCGAAATAATTACAGCGTCCGCGCTGTGTCTTCTTGCAATACAAAATTATGTTAATAATTTAAAAAGATATCAAGTTCAAAAAGAGATAGATAGATAAAAAAATTATTTGCTTAAAAACATGGTACATAAGATGATCAATGACCTGCAACTTTATTAGTGCCTACGAAAGTATCCAGATCTACAAAATGAATGCGGCGTCACATATGCAAGTCATCAAACTCCTGGCCATGAGTTTTCTATGTTATGAAATTAGCATCCCCATTGAGTGTCTTTTATTTAAAAATAGTTCCATTTATGTCCGCTTGGGGCACTGTTCATATTTTTTCTATATAATTTTATTCGAAAACGATATGAAATCTTTAGTGTTGAAAACTTAACCTCATGTAGCTTTCCAACCACGTTTTAATTTAAATAATATGAAGTGATTTCATACCCACCACAAATGTTTGTATTTATACAGTTTGTATAGTTGTGGCAATGACGGGGGGAGGTTAGTAGCCGTGGCTTGATAACCAACGATGAAAAAAGAGGAACCCACTTGGTTAGCCCATAGTGTAGGGAGGAGGTTCGACGTCTCTGCCCAGCCTGCGAGAGGCCGCCATCCCACTACCCCGATTAACGACGGCCCGCGGTGGGTGCTTACGCGCAGCGACAGGGATAACTATTCGAGGAAGCTGCCTTAGTCCAGTCCTGGAGCTGGGAGTCGGCAACGGACGGCCCCGTCGACGTCGAAGCAGTGGAGCTATGGTTTCGCGGGGCGATGACGCAGATCTGCGACGCGTCCATGCCCCCGTGTCCGCCAACGGTCCGCAAGGCACCAGGTGTACTGGTGGACCGCCGAGATCGCGCAATTGCGCATAGTGTGCGTTGCGGCCCGTCGCCGGTACACCCGATACCGGAGACGGCGTCGACGGGATTCCGCCGAGGAGGACGGGATTCCGTCGAGGAGGACGCGCTCTACGAGGTGTACCGCGCGTCTAAGGAGACTCTGTGGCTGGCCATCAGCGACTCGCAGTCGCGTGCCAGGGAGGAGCTGCTGGGGTCCCTAGATCGGGATCCGTGGGGGGCGCCCCTACCGTTGGGTACGGGGGCAAGTTGCGTTCCTGGGCGCCTCCACTAACGCAAACAATGCAACCCCAGTTGCTAGAGACAGTGGTATCAGTTCTCTTCCCTGAACGAGTGGGACACGTTCCCCCGGCGATGCCTTCACCCTCAGCCACAGACTCTCCAGAGGAAGAGAGCACCGATGTCCCCAAGGTGACGCAAGCAGAGATGAGAGCGGCCATGGCGCGACTTCGGGCCAAGAACATAGCGCCCGGACCCGACGGAGTTCCTGGTCGAGCTCTCGTCCTGGCTCTGAAGGAGCTGGAGCCCCAGCTGAGGGGGCTCTTAACGGCATGTCTCGAGCAGGGTCAGCTTCCCAGTGTGTGGAAGGAGGGAAGGCTGGTCCTACTCAGGAAGGAGGGGGCGCCCCGCGGACTCACCGTCCGCGTACCGGCCCATAGTGCTGCTCGACGAGGCGGGAAAACTTCTTGAGCGTATCATCGCAGATCGCCTCGTCAGCCACTTGTGCAGAGTGGGGCCAGACCTGGACGAGAACCAGTTTGGTTTTCGTCGCGGGCGCTCCACCATAGACGCTATTACGCGCGTGAGGGCCCTGGCGGAGGAGACAGTATCCCGGGGTGGGGTGGTGCTGGCGGTGTCATTAGACATCTCCAACGCCTTCAACACCCTACCCTGGAGTTGTATTCGGGAGGCGCTTAATTACCATCGCGTGCCTCCCTACCTCCACCGCACAACAGGGGCTTACCTTGAGGAGAGATGCGTCACGTATTGGGGACGTGACAGCGCTGGTCGGCGCGTCATGTCGTGCGGTGTTCCGCAGGGATCGGTCTTGGGACCGGCTCTTGTGGAACATTGGCTACGACTGGGTGCTGAGAGGTGAGCTCCCGTCGGGCGCTGACTTGACCTGTTATGCAGACGACACGCTCGTCACTGCCCGGGGTTGCCACGGCTGCGGTTTCACAAGTGGTAAACCGCATCCGGTGCCTGGGCCTGGAGGTGGCCCTTAACAAGTCGGAGGCCATGATGTTTCATGGCCTTCGACGCGCGCCGCCGCCGGGATCGCACATCGTGGTCAGCGGGGCCCGGATAGCTGTTGAGCCCACCATGAAGTACCTGGGATTGGTGCTCGACAGCCAATGGAAATTTGGGCCCCACTTCCGGCGGCTGGCGCCCAAGCTGATGCGTGCAGCTGGCGCACTTTCAACGCTGCTTCCCAACTTGGGGGGCCCGAGCGCTGCCTGTAGGCGGTTGTACGTGGGAATCGTGCGGTCCATGGCCCTGTATGGGGCCCCTGTATGGGCGATGGACATGACGGCCAGCACTCTCGCCATTCTGCGCAAACCGCAGAGGGCGATGGCCGTCAGAGTCATACGCGGGTATCGTACGATTTCCTACGAGGCGGCTTGCGT